GCTAGCTAATGGGACGGTGTATTAAATTTTGGCAAAAAAATGCAAGGAAATCTAAAAAATGAAAAAAAGAATATAAGCAAAAAATAAGTTAATATAAAAACTCTAAAATTTGAATAAAAAGACATTTAAATATTATTTTAGTTAGGGGCCGCAATTTACAATCGAGGCTAATCGCACCTGACGTTGAGCTCAGTGAGAAGAAGTCGGAACTGCGGCTAAAGGTTAGCAAGGAAATCCTATAATACTTAACAAAAAGGAGAAGAAATAATTGATCAATTTAAAAAAAAAATAGGTAAAATAGGCAGAATATAAAGAAAAATTGGTCAAATGACACAAATAACGGAATGAAAAATAAAGGCTAGCTAATGGGACGGTGTATTCAATTTTGGCAAAAAAATGCAAGGAAATCTAAAAAATGAAAAAAGAATATAAGCAAAAAAAATAAGTTCATATAAAAACTCTAAAATTTAAATAAAAAAGACATTTAAATATGATTTTAGTTAGGGGCCGCAATTTACAATCGAGGCTAATCGCACCTGACGTTGATTAGCTAGCTAATGGGACGGTGTATTAAATTTTGGCAAAAAAATGCAAGGAAATCTAAAAAATGTAAAGAATATAAGCTAATATAAGTAAGAATATAAGTTAATATAAAAACTCTAAAATTTAAATAAAAAAGACATTTAAATATTATTTTTAGTTAGGGGCCACAATTTAGCCCAGGCCCAGACTTTCTACCCGCTGCCCTGCCCCTTGTTCAGCTCCTCCCCCCGCCCTCAGGGACACATGCTTTTGGTGCCACCACTGCATATTTGACTGTAGTGTATCAGGAAGGATATGGCCACTCCGTGATCCTCTTGGCGTACTTCCTGATGATGTTGTCTTCCCTGAAGATGAAGAGCGAGCGGTTGACGGTGAGACAGTTCTGTTTGACAGGGTTCGGGTTGTAGATGGCCATGGTCCGCGCTCGCTGAGCCATCGACTGCTTGTACATCCTCTGACCGCCCGGGGCGCCACCATGGTGGTGACCAGCGCCGACGGCACCACCTCCACCGAGACCCCCGGCTCCACCTGCTCCACCTCGGGCTCCTCCGCCTCGACCTCCTCCTCCTCCTCCTCCGTAGCGGGAGGGCAGATCGTCCGAGAAGCGGGCCATTCTGGAGGGGCACAGAGCCGAGTGGTGAAATCCAAAGTAGTGTCAGAGGTGAGAGCAGAGGGAAGGAACATCACAACAAACGCACTTCATCCAAACACTTCGAAGGATTCAAACGAACTGAACGGAAACCTGAGCTCAGCTTCACGGTCGGAGGATGAAGACCAAAATTACGACGCGCTGTCAGAGGAGAGAACATCCTGTAGAACCTTCACGCATCTTCACATCCAAGTTTTAGAACCTCCTCAAAAATCATTGATTTTTCTTTTTTTTTTTTTCTTTTTTAAATTTCACTCCTGGTTTGAGTGAAAACAACGGGTTTTTTTCACCACAAATGTTTCTAACGGTAAAATCCTGAGGAGCCGAAGCTCAGACACCAGTTGACGCTTCGAAGGGTTTTGCTTGTCAGTGAATGATTTCCATTTTTCCCATTTTTCTCTCTAGCTCTTCCTCCAGCTGACGCTGCTCATCCACAGCAGCAGCAGCAGCAGCAGCAACACTCGATCCTCAGGTTTGTCTCTCCGCTTTGTGGAGGCTGGAGCTGGAGCTGGAGCTGAGGCTGGAGGAGGAAGGAGAGGCTCAGCTTCTATAAAGCCAATTCCTCAGGGAGGAATAAAGGGAGGAGGAAAAGGAGGAAGAGGAGGAGGAGGAGGAGGAGGAGGAGACAGCATGTGACCAGGAGGAGCCAGTAAGAGAGTGGAGCGCACAAACGCTCTGATGAAAAAAAAAAAAAACACGAACTGAAAAAAAAAAAGATTGTTTTTTTGGTTCTTTATTTGAGTTGTTTTTCATTCAAATTCATTTGATTTTTTTTTTACCGTCAGGATTTTACAATCAATCATTCGAGAGTCAGCGATTGTGCAGGCATGAGCAAACTAAGGCCTGCGGGCCGGATGTGGTCCGTTCAGCTTTTTAATCCGGTCCGCCAAACCATTCCAAAATACATCATTTATTTATATTATCGTTATACTTCTGCATTTCCATCCCCTGCAAAAGAGTAAGTAAAAGAAAATGTTTAAACTGAACAAAATAAAATGGACTAAAATGACTCTAGATATAGTTTATAGAGTGCAACAAGTAAGTCTTTTAAAATCGTGCATTTGTCATTTTAAATACTGAAATAATAACTAAAGTAATTATACAATAATGAAAAAATTATCACACTATGGGGAAAAGAGTAAACATCAATGTTTCAACCATTATAAAAAAAGGTTGAAATTCAAAAAAATAATACCCGGAAGTCATATTTTTATCTCATTGTCAGTATTTTTTTTTTATTTAATTTAATAAAAAAAGGAAATAAAGATAAATTTGTCAGTAGTGATGGTGCTCTTCGTTCACGTCTGGAGAACAAGTCATTACATTTCTTTAATGCCCCTGACGCGGTCATTTTACAACTGGCCTAATGCCGCCATCTGCTGATCAGGTTTAGATACTACAGCCAAGATTTAAAGAAAGACCCATGAATTTGAGTCGCTGTCTGAAGTTTTTCTTGTACTGTAGTATTGTTTAGGCAAAAGTTAGCATCGTCTGTTGTTTATTATTTTTTTTCCTTTTCTGTCATAGTATTTGATGCGGTAGTTAACATTTAATAATTTATTCATTCATAATATTTAATTTAGTTAAGTTATTTTTATACATGGCGTGCAATCAACTCTCTTCTGTGCTCTAGCAGTGGACATACAGTAGTGAGGGGTCAAAAGGTCATCATTCAAAGAAAATTAAAAAAAAAAAATAGTTTGGGAAAAGTACCTAGGAAAGAAAACTATGACATGTCAATAAAAAACCACCAAAATACTCAAGATGAGGTAAAATACAAAACGTAAAAAGTGAAATATTTTGAGTTAATGAGTAGTATTTGTTTTGAGTAAAACATATTTGCAACAACATTTTGAGTTAATGAGTACAAGTATTTGTTTTGAGTAAAACATATTTGTTTATATAGAGTATTTATTTAATTGTGAAAAAATATATATATATCATATTATATATATATATTATGAAAAATATCTAATAGATCTCACCTGTTGAGGGTCTCATGTCTCCAGATGAACTGATGACGGTGATGAAGATGATGAAGATGATGGACACCGTCTTCTCCAGGAGACCCCAGTACCTCCATCTGAAAACTGTTGTCATCAGTGAGACAGTCCACAGATCTCCACACCTGTCCTCCTACTTCTCTGGGACACATGTCCTCCTGCTCCGTCTTGTTTTTCTCCTCTTGCACCTCCTCTGCTGCAGCAGCATCAGCATCATCATCATGTTTGACCTCCACCCTCTGACCACTGCGCTGCAACTGTTCGGCTGACAGGGCCCAGGAGTCTACGTACTCTGCCCCCAGAGTCAACATCCGCCAGGAGCCCAACGTGGCAGAACGCAGAGCTGGAGGAAGAGGAGGAGGAAGAGGAAGAAGAGGAACAACCGCAACAACAGTAACAACTGTGAGTTCTACGATGGAGCCGTAAATCCTGGATCTTAGTCCGGACCTCCCCCAGGATGACATCACACACTTCTTACAGAGTTTGGTCCAAATCGACTCTCAAAAGCAGTTTTAAAAAGTAGGCAGATGGACTCACCTCATCACATTATTACATTACATTACATTAGATTCAAACATTATTTTGAATCTAAAAAGTTGATCCCTAATTGTCTTTGTCCATTTCCTGGCTCACTCTCTACACCTTCATTGTTTTAGATTAAGAAAACAAACAAACAAAACAAAGTAAATGAACAAAGGACATTACTATTAGTATAAAACCTAATGATGATTTTCTCTGTAAAGACCTCAGCCCTCATTCTCTCCCACGTTTGTTCTCTCCATTTCCTCATTTCTCATGACGACTATGAGATTACTTTTAGGTGTGTTGTTGAGGTTTAGGTGAATCCTGTCACCTGATTGGTCATGATTGGCTGACGCTCCAGGCTTCTGTTGTTGTATTTATAGAAAATGCCCATGATAACGTACGGTATTCATATTAATCTTCTGCTGCTGATGTTTGGACAACAAACACGCAGCTGTTAAAGACTAGAAGCCATTCACTCAGTTCGAACAGTAAGAAGCAAAAACCTACGAACCGTACACCACCGTGGAACGTCTCTCATCCCATCTGGAACCGTGAGGGACTCCTCTCTTCATGACTTAGTTCAGGAGCCACCCAGGAACAGAACAGAACCAGCCGGGTGTCCCAGTTGCGATGTCAGCTCAGGACTGCTGCTCTCCCTTCAGATTAACTGGGTTTTTCATGTTCTGTTTCCACACTTTTTTCCCCACTGTGGAATGCAGGAAAAGCTGCTTCCTGTCCCGCCAACCATCTCTGAAACTAGAGAAGTTTATCACTGATTTTTGTTTTCATTTTCGCCCAACGAGATTCAGGAAGCCACTAATTATCTGGTAGAACTAAAAGCCTCACTTCCTGTTGAGCAGCGACTGGGCCCCCAACCCAAAATAAAAAGCTTTTATCTATATATATATATATAAGGTCCTTTAATCTGCAAAACATTTTTTTTTATCTACAGTACATTTCTGGATCAGACATACAGTACAAACAATGGAAGGCAGTTTTTAAGTGTGTCTCACCTGTTCTTATGTGGGACTAATCCAAATTCACTGCACTATTTTCCAGACGATGATGACAGAAACTGTACATGAGTAGAAATGGATTAGTAATAAATTTATTGAAAAAAGACAACCAATCAGATGATGGTTCACGGTCCAGAGATGAGTAATAGAACGTGATGAAAGTGCAATTCATTTTTTTTTTCCTTTTTGTTTTGCTGCCTCACCTCTGTTTATTCCAATAGTTTCTTTGAAAAACATTACAACACAGTCACTGCTTTACTAACAACATTTAAAAAAGACTCGTTGGCTTCTGTTGGTGTAAAAACCATCAAACACAAAAAAGAGATCTACAGTAACTACTTTAGAAAAATGGAGATAAAATCCAAACTTAAAAAAAATGTAGGTGTTCTTATTTTACAAACTATGTTATACAAATTAAAAAAATCAAAGAAAAAAATCAGCACCATAAATGTTTCTTTGCGTTCCTTGTCAGTTCCTCCAAATGTGGCAAAATATCCGACACATGCTTACAAAAGTTCTTTTATTCTTTTTAAATTTTATTTTACCTAGAAACGCCTCAGGTTGGAGGAATGATACAGCGTCATTCTATCAGAGAATCTAGACTCACTCAAGAGTAAAAATAAAAACAATTTGACTTTTTCCCACATAATTTCAGAATAAAAGCATTAACCGCTTCAGCGCAAACGTCAGGACGTTCACTCACGTACTGCATTGAAAATGAAATGACACCACAAAGAGATTCAGGTTTTTCCTTTAGCGGGAATGTTTAGTGATAGACGGGCAACAGTTCTAGTGAGTTGTAATCTAGTCCTGACACCTTTGCCTCGTTCTCGGGGTCAGTCAGGGAAACGGGACACATATTTAGTGCAAACGCAATTATAGGTGCAGTACCACAGTTGGCCAACAGGGGCTGGCTGAATAAATGGACTCCCAGGGCTTTTCTCTAAAGATGACTATCCAAATATTTTTGAAACATCTCCAGGAGGAGCGTTCTTTTCATTCCTAGAACTCAAGACAATTTGGATGGTTTCTTTTATACGTTGATGACAGTATGCTTATCTGAGAAATGTTGTGCCTGGACATCTTTACAAACAGTGACTGTATAATACGTTTTGGCCATGTAGGTGATTTTTTTTTTTTTTAAATGGATTGTTTACAAAAAAAAAACTATACCAAAGCTGCCCCCCCCTGTAGTTCCGTGCTACTTTAGTCCAATTTTCTAACCTTAACTTTTAAACTCGTCAGATCATGTCCATACGTTACATTCAAATTCCAGTGAAGACAACCAACTCTGTTAAAAAAAAAGAGGAAATTGTGCACCTTTGATTCCCAGTAAACTGCTGTATGAAATGTAAAAATCCTTCTCCATCGTCCTCGTTCACATTTGCTGTGCGACATGTCACTGCCCCCCCCCCCCCCCCCCCCCCCCCCCCCCCCCAAATGTTCAGCTGAAATAACGGAGCAGTGACCTTCGCTGTGCCTCTGCTTCTCTGTCATCAATGGTCCACGGAGATTTCTTTCAGTTTGATTCTAGCGGCCCCTGCTGGGTCTGCCTGTCCCTGTGCGTGTAGTGCAGCTAAGTGTTTTTGTTTTTGTTTTTATGAAGGACTGTGAGGCCGAGCAGACGAGCTGGTGTCCGGTGACGCGCTGGGCTGCTGCTGGTCCTCAGGCGTGCTGTCGGCCTGCAGCGAGGCCAAAGCTGAGGTTGAGTATTTACACTGGGAGGAGCCACATTCACAGTAGAAGAGTCTGCTCTTCACTTCCCAGAAGTGGTCTCCGTAGTTAAATCTGAAGGGGAAATAAGAAAAAAAGTTCAATCTTGTTTTGTGTAAACTGACTCAACAAATCTACAAAAGATACAGCTTCAAAAACACCAGTTTGCGTCTGCAAAAACTTCAAGATGGATTTTTTTTAAATGTAAAAAAACTGGATGTTTGGTTGGTGATTTTAAATCCTTCCTTAAGTCCCCCACTTTGGGAACCACATTGGCAGACAATTCATGTTTCCTTAAATGCCTCTTGGCCACATATTCCTCATAAAGTAGAAGCATCAATGGACAGCAACACACTTGTGAATATTTAAAAAAAAAAAAAAAAAAAAACACCAACCCCCCCCCCCCCCCCCCCCACACTACTACAACCACCCACAAGAAACTTGTACCACAAGGTTAAAAAGTACAGAAAATGTATTTTAAGTCCTAACATGTACAAAAGGTGGGATTTATGTTCTTCCTTCATTTGGCCATGTCATTCATCTGTGAATTCTGTCCGATCGATGCAGTACATGTCCTGCGGCTGGTGGAAGTAAAACAAATGAAGGGACGTCAGTAGAACATTCAGAGATAATTGTCCCCCTGACTGGAGAACATTTAAGAACTTGAAATATTTCATAGGGATAAGGTGAGATAGAAGCAGATAGGAGCAGGCAAAAGAAAAAAAAAATTTTACTGTCACATGACCCTCACGTGTTCATGTTTACCTTGTCGTCCAGGCTGAACAGATAGGTATCGTTTACTCTCATGTCTGCTTCTGCTTCAGAGATGATCTCACCAACATACCTGCGCGCACACACACACACACACAGCGCAAGGTTTGAAGAAATGAGACAATCAAGAATGTACTGATTAGCTAATACCGTTTAGTATTAGTTCTTACACTGCAGTTTTTAATATTTAAAACTGTAGTAAGAACCTGACCTTTAGAAGATGCAACAAGAAAGACTTTGTCAAAAGTTACTGTTTATCCTACGGAGGCCTAGTGGAGGCCAAGTTTCCAAAAATTAAAACTACAGTTTCCAGGGACTCTAAGACGCCGTCAGACGTTTTGAACAACAGGACATACTCGCACACAAAGGTTCCCTGTGGAATGTCCTGCAGAGCCCGGACCCCCCAGCCCTTTTTACTGGTCCTGAAGAGCTGGAGTCTGGTCCTGGAAGAGTTTTAAAGCAAGTCATTAAAATCAAATGTGAATTTGTCCTTTTGTTAAAAAACATCAAATCATGCAACAAATGTCACGAGTGGCCAAATAAAGGGTACCTGAGTCCATTTTGCACTACACGGTTCTTGCAGGTTTTCCAGCAGGAACAGGCGTGATTACACTCAAAGATAAGGGGGGGCTCCTCACGGCAGAATTCCGGGAGAAGACACCCGCTCTGGGCAAGGTAAGAAGAAGAACATGACCTTGAGTGTGACTACAAGAACAATGGTGCGACATCTCTAACAAACCACCAAACATTATGGGAGATTCTCTCCCCACAATTGTATAAAGTCTAATTAAAAACCTAAGAATATATTGTATTCAAGTTCAAGAATTAGATGAACAACCCTGGTCCAAACTTATAAACTTTCACCTCACCTTGTCGTACCAGCAGCGCAAACTGAGCTGTCCACACATACAGATACTTGTAGAACAATCTTCTTTACAGACACAGTACTGAAAGTCAGGCAGAGAGGAGAGGGAATGTCATTGGTCATTTATAAACGTGCGCAACATCAACAAACATTCCCTGGATAACACAATTTTGTCAAGTCAAGTTCTTTATGGATCCTTTTTTTTTTCAAGGTTCTGCCCAACTCACCTGCAGGTGTGTGATGTTTCTGTCTATGTTCATGGGTGAGGTGACACAGTTTTCTGAGATGTACTTGTAGTTCTCAGGGTACGGTTCGCTGTCCACAGAGTTGACACACGGGATAGGAACTTTCTCCCGACCCAGAGTGATGTCACTGCACATAAAAACAGTTAACAGAAATATAAGCCCAATGAAAAAAAAATGTTCCCCTTTAGGAGAGACTTTTAAGGTCTTAAGACTGAGTGCAACCAAACCTATGAAGGACTTTATTTTCTGCTGGACTGAGCCCGTGGTTCTTGCTCTCCTTCTCCTTCCTGTTTGCCTGCAGAGCTGCCCAGGCTCTACTGTTGTGGCTGCAGCAGTCGGGAGGTGTTTCTCCCTCGCGGTTCTTCAAGAACACGTCGGCTCCACGCGACAGGAACAGCCTGAAGAGACACCGTGGTTCAGATGATGTCACACATCGTGATTGGTTCTCTATGTCTACAACTACAGTACAATAGAGTATGGGGCAGATTGATTGATGGCAAACATCATAATTACAACTATTTTCATTTATATTAAAAAACAATTATACAAAACACTTATTCATAGATTTGAGAATTTGCTTTCATTAAACTTACTTTATTAAATGTCAAACTGACAAAAATAAATTAAACAGTTAAAAATATAAAGAAAAAAAACATACAGTATATACAAATAATGAATAAAAATATCAAAACCTGTTTAGTAATGTACTTGTAATGTACAAACTGCTGTGCAAACTAAAGGTCACTACACCGTATGATTATTGTATGTTCAACTTCAAACAAACGTCAATCAAACAAACGTTACAAACTGCTTAAATGTTAAACGTAGTTAAAGTACACCACACTACAATACGGTACTACTGTATAACTATCCTTTTTCTATTGACAATACATACTGTAACTTTGTAGAATCCAAGGTTTGCAGTTTATTATTGTCAATCAAAGGCCTTCTACTATTTTTAAATAAAATAAAATTAATTAACTAACTACCTAACAAACTCACTAACTATCCCATATGGAAAATTAACTAACTAACTACCCAACAAACTCACTAACTATCCCATATGGATATAGTCATTAGCACCCCTAACGCAAGGACTAATTACAACTACAATAACTACCATTACAGTATACCACAGTACTACTGCTTCATCTACTGTAGCTACAGATAGTAGGAGGTCGAGTAGTTAAAGGACTGGACTTATAATCAGAGGAATGCTGGTTGAAATACCGACCCTGGCCACAGGGGTGCGGTATGTCCACACCTCCTCACACTAAAAAGTGCAGCCCGCAGCTGGAGCTAGAGTACTAGCCCAGGAAACGGATGTTTACAAACCAAAGGACCCTTCCACCAAAGTCCACAGAGAAAGTCAGCATTTTTTAATGAAACTATTTCTGAATGTAAACTCACGTGACACAGTCCAGACGATTCTCCCTAGCAGCGATGTGCAAAGGAGAGTCTCCGTGGATGTTGACGGCCTGTAGATCACAGTGAGCGTTCAACAGCTGCTCTGCGATCTCCACGCTGCCAGAGAAGGCTGCCCAGTGAAGACAGATGTTCTCTTCCTGAAAATGAACACAAATACAAGAAAACTATCACATTTATTTTAATTGTATTTTAAAATTTTTTTTTAATTTTAGGATTTTAGGACAGTTCGCCTACCTTGTCTCTAATGCTGCCATCAGCTCCTTTGGACAGAAGCAGCTTTACCTGGTCCGCATGTTTGTATTCTGTGGCCCAGATCATAGCAGTCCAACCTCCATCATCCTGAGGATGAATATTTATCACCAACTTTATCACCACAGTTATCCGTGTTAGCAGTACATGACAAGTATCCAGCATCAAGTTTAATATATTGTTATATTTCTTATTTTTTATCAACTGCAGAGTGTATAAAGACAAGGTAACTGTATAAAAATATTACGTAAAACTTCGGATAAAGACTGAAGACTAAACAGTCAGTTGTAAAAAATATACTTTAGTACCTAATTGTACTTAAGAAAAAAATAAAAATAAATAAATACTGACCTGACAGTTGATGCTGATGAGTCCTGTTGAGAGCAGGTGCTCCACAATGTTGTAATGTCCAGATTTTGCCGCTAGATGGAGACACGTAAAACCTTCAACATCCTGAGGAGGCAAACAGGTTTCATCAGTGACTACCTCCACAGAACCATCTCTCCACAGCTGTAAACTGCCTCCACAGCTGCGAGAGGTGAAGCCTGTGTTGTACGTGTTCTCCACCTTGTGTGTAGCGCTGGCTCCAGCTCTCAGCAGGTACAGAACAGTTTCCATGTGGTTGTTCTCACAGGCCTCCATCAGTGGCGTTCGCTGGTCATCGTCACACATGTCCAGATTGGCACCAGCCTGCAGCAGGACACGGTTCAATGGATTAGTAAGACCTGCACATCAGCATGCACAGGTGCAAAGGTTGGGAACCAGAAGCTCATCAGACAATATTAAACTGCACACCATGCAGCCCAAAAACACAGCGGTCAGCAGGGTGGTGTCCAGTCAAAACCTCAACAGTAAAATTAAAAGTGGTTTAGGGTTAGCTTGCAGCGGTCTGCGTAACGTAGTGTGACATGACCAAATTTTTTTGGACTATAAGCTGCTACTTTTTTCACACACTTTGAACCCTGCGGCTTAAACAATGATTTTTTACAAGCTAACGAAGTTCATACCGCTAGCAATCAATGGTTATTCTGGTAGGCTACTGTGTGATTTACTAGTAGCATATCTCTGTCTGTGAATGGCTGTGTGCGTACATGTGCGTGGGGCGTGCGTGAGAGAGAGAGAGAGAGAGAGAGAATGGTAGTAGAAGATGAAAGCAGTTTGAGCCCTGTCGAAGCTCGTTCGTTATACAGGAGCTGTTAAAACTCTGTTTGTGTTCTGTTGTGCCCGGTGTGGCTGATCATAAAGACCCCAACTTCACTGTTTCTGTTTCTGCTGCAGACAAGCACAAAGTGAAGGGAGTTAGCCCCGAAGCTAATGTTAGCTTCAGCCCCGGAGCAGACCACAAAGTCCTCCCTGGGCATTCTAACTAAGGTCGGGGGGCCGAAGCAGGAAACAGCTAACTAACATGTAACCAGCCGTGTTATAGGCACTGTTCAGAAAAAAAAGCATTTATTTTATTAAAAGTGAAAAAAAAAAAATCTTTCTGTGTAAATATCCCATGTTACAATGTGGACACCTGCAGCTCATAGAGAAGTGCGTAGAATTTTTTTGTGTGGGTGCGGCTTATATTCAGGAGGGCTCAAAAGTGCAGAATTTACAGAATATACTAAAGACAAAAACACTTGCACAGGACTGAGTTGATATGGTGCAACTGAAACAAGCTTATAGAGGAAGGACCCATAAGAAGGTGGAGCCTAACTTGCCTGTACGAGCATATGACATATCTCTCTGAATCCTCCTTCAGCTGCAGCATGAAGAGGCGTTCGCTTGTTCTGTGATTCCATCTTAAAGTTGGGATCCATGCCGTCCACTGGAGGACAAACGGCAGTTTATAATTTCTGGACAAGCAATGATACCCAGTGATAACGGTGATAACGTTTTTCACCGACATACCTAACATCATAACGACCCTCTTCAGCTCTCCCTGTTTGGCTGAGACGTAAAGCTGTTTGGGATGAAATCGCAGCTTCTTAGGTCTGAAGAGAAAACAAACAAACACACCAGAAGAATCATGCAATTACAATTTTTTCATCAAGTATTAATATCTGTTTACATCACGTGTTACTGATTTTATGGAAATAAAAAAACCACAAAAGTGACACATTTTTTAAAAAAAATCTTCTCTTCAAACATACTTCTCTGTGTCCAGGGCGATGAGGATGCTCTCCAGGGTTTCTCTGGTTGCACCATGGGATACCATCGGTGAGGGTGTACTTCCTACACTGGCCTGCAGGGTTGCATTTCGAGATGATCCAGGAAGAGCAGAGTCAAAGCGAATAGAGAGTGAACTGTCCGCCCGACCACTGATGTCAGAACCAACAGACAAACGAGAGGAGCTGAAAAACAAACAGACACACAACAGCTGTGAATGCAAACAAGATCAAAATATAATATGTAAATAAATATATATATATATATACAAAACAGATTCCCACATCCACCTGGACCTCATAATGAAACCTCTCAGGGACAAAAACATTGACAGGTTTCAGCTGCTGCTTTCCAGTTCTTTATTCTAACTGGAAAAATTTTAAGGTTTTCTTGTTTTGTAAGAGACATAAAGTCCAACACCGAGGTCCACATAGAAAAGTTTTTGCTTTTAGTCTGTAACGTGTGTTGTTTTTCTGCAGTCACACCCAACAACGCACAATGAAATAATTAAGACTCGAGGGAACTTGGAAAAACTGATGATCTCCAAGGACCTATAGTGGGTGAAACAGGAAGTTTAATCATAGGTCACTATGAACTTCAAACTGCTGCTTCATATCACTGCGCATCATCATTACTATCCTAACTATCGTCATCATTATTATTATAATTATTGTTTTTTCCTTTATTACCAGTTACGTGTTCCTTCATACTGAGCACTGGGCCAGTATTCGTAGTTACCTGCCAGTTGTAGTGTCTGCTCGTCCCTCTTGGGCACCAGGTGTGATAGGTCCGTTGGTGAGCACAGTGGGAACAGTGGAGGTGGTGTCCGCTTTGGCGATGGTCACCTCCTTGGCCTTGCCGGCCTCCTCTCCACAGTGCGGACAGAAACTCTGACCTTTTAGCATTGAGGCACAGGCGCGATGGAAGCGGTGGGAGATGTTGATGTCTGGTTGGCACTCCATGAAGGTCCCCTGGACAAATGAGGGCTAAATATGTTACCGAGGAACTTAAAAGCCGATTCAAGAAAACCAAAAAACTACTGCAGCAATGCCACCTACAGCCCTACAGAAGAAGCCACAGCCAGGACAGCACTGATGCTTCACCATGCCGTTACGGTGATCCTCGCACAGCACCAGCAGCTGGACGGAGTTGGAGGGACGCATCATCTCATGTTTAAGGATTGCACCCTGGCAGCGGCTCAGCTGTCCGTCCACGCTCTCTGTTGCCATGCACTTCCTGTCAGCCAGGGTGAGGATCTCTCGACTTTTGGGCGTCTCCATGCGGCAGCTGCAGAGAGGAAGCTCCTGAGCCTCCTCCACGATTGATCCTGAAGGTTCCAGAGAGTTAGGGCACACTCACACTAAGGCCAGTTGCACTGTGTCACGCTAAAGCGCCCATTGCTTCCCTCCCCTGTCCCCCATTAGCCCCCACTCAGCTAAAGCTCGGTTGCCTCGACTGTTGTTGATATGCGGTTAAAGCAGCGCGATCTAGAGCAAATCTGAATACAATGGCTGAACAACACAATGTAATTATTACTGGGAGCTGGTGTCGCACAGAAACATGACTGACTGTGATACGCATGTGGAACAGTGTGTGTTCTGAGTGGAGCGCGCGCACACGCACGGACACTGCTGCTATGGCTGCTTTGCGAACTATCAGCCCTCGCCAATGTCTCGATTTACTGACTGTGCAAGGCGGCATTTCCAAGATTTTGGAAATGATTATGAGGCAGCAGGAGATGTAATTAACCACGGCCAACCGCGCCGTAGCGGACAACCACTCCACGCCTGGGCGCAGAGCATTTGTACTCACACTAGCCATAGAATCCATGCTTTGGGGGGACAATCGTGCTTGGGCGCGGTACACGGCCCTAGTGGAAGTGCACCCTTTGAGGAGTTTCAGTAAAACAATATCACAAAATAAAACAGATCATACATGAGCACCTTTTAAGCTATGTCAGCTTGGAACAGTTAAGTTAACAGTGGTAAGTTGAGGTGTGAGCGCCCCCCCTGAGGGCACAAAACATTTTTTGCCCAACTGTGGAAAACCTGATTTGTAAATGTATTTCCTTTGTTCAAAGAGAAAATCAGTTTTGTATGGTGTGTTTTGCACAGTGTTTCCTTTCAATTTTACTGCAGGCTTGAGCAATAGCTTTATCGATTATCCGGAGGGGTGATAACATTCCCACCTGCAAAAACAGGTTTGGGAACTAATGGCCTGGACAGTTAAAACTTTTACAAGATCTAATAAGTCATTTGGCAGGTCAATGGCTTTTTACCTTTAGGTGTCAACCTAGATTTTCTCCTGCTCTCACCTTCGTTCTGTGAGGCAACAGCAGACTCGGGAGAATGGATATGTTTGTACTCTGTCCTGTCATCTGTAAGAGACTCAGCTGAGTCCTGAGGCTGAGCAGCCAGCTCCAGGTCTGAGAAGAAGACAACGTTCAACGTTGATATATTAACTTCTCATTTTTCCATCACATAAAATCAAGTCACATCTAGAATCATCTCATAACCAGGTAAATTAATGAACCATCTAGAAACTAAAGCAGTTCTTAAATCGTTACATGGAAGGAAAGAGCACAATCATCAGAGCCATGGCTGAGGGGGGCGAGGTTCACCTTTGGTCTTCAGCTTCCTCTTCCGTTTCCTGGACGGCCGGAGCCACGGACTGTCACCTTTGATTTTCTTCTTCAACTTCTTCTTCAAACCTGACTCAGAGCTCTGATGAAGAAGAGATACAGCTCAGTCTGAAGCTGCTGCTCATAGTTGTTGGTATTTATGTTGTTAATAAAAATCGAAATCATAAAAAATTACTATTCCACATTAACACTCCAACATCCTTTCTGTTTGGCTTTCAACTTGATTTGTACTATTGTTTTGATCCTGCTCTCTTTTCTCCTTCTTTGGTCTCCGCCGTCTCCCCATTCTTCCCTTGCTTTCCCTTGGCTATTTCTTCCTGAAGTTTCGCTCTCTCTCTCTTTTTATTTCATATAATTATAATATAAATATACTATCAACACAGTAATGACTATATATTTATTCAAATGTAATTTGTATTTAATATGTATTGTCTGAACATAATTTTACTCTATAATCACAATTAGTATTTTGCTCCATGTTCTGCCATTGTCAACCTAAAAAATAAATCATTCCAACCCTTTTTTTAAACAACATAAGCCGAACATTGGTGGGTGGGCTTTACCATGTCGGACTCCGTGCCCTCCTCCACTTGGGCTTCTTCCTCATCTTCTGAGTCTTCAGTCTCCTGCTCCTCCACCTACATCCAGCAAACCATAAAACCAGAGTTATAGAGACGACATCAACAGGAACTGTCACTCCCGGGTCACTTAAGTGTCCCGGTCCAACCTGAGAAACTGGGGCAGACGTCGGGTCCTGAACAACACTAACAGATTCTTCTGACGTCTGCTGTCCCTCCTCTTCTTCAGACTCCATATCCTCTGACTCTTCCTCCTCTGAAGCATTTTCCTCCTTCTCCCCGTTTATGTTTGACATATCTTTAGTCTGAAAGGGGGAAAGCAATATTTTCAAAAAAAAAGTTTCAGAATTTTCAGTATTGGACCTGGGATAGGTGGTTGGGCACATCTGTTTTCAGACATTCAGTTGATGTAAAAATCAATCAAAATGTGTTGGTAAGCAGTGTTTAAGAAATAAGACCTGTGAACTTTCAGCTGGCTTCTGGAGGTTCTTGAACATCTCTAGCACGGTTCTCTGCCTCAACACTTTAGTTTTCTTCCTGGGAACCAGACTGTACGTTCCCATTTTCCTCTTCTTCTTACGAGACGACAACCCTCCAGAGGCTGGACCTAGGGTTGAAAGTGAAAAAAAAAAAAAACACATTTTCAGCCTCATGAAATAACAGTTGAGGGTGCATGTTATTACTGATTGTTGATAGACAATTGGTTTGGTCAATAATTGGCTGATAATGTATTCAGGTCCATAAATTAACAGATCAAATCTACACTGAGTTGTCCATAAACTGGATGTGTCCTGAAGTCACACTGCAGCAGACCAACAGCAAATGCTAATGGGTCTAATAACTAAAAACATCAAACCAGAGCTAAAACAATGTCTCTTAGTCAGTCTGGATGATTTTACTGGGCTGAATGACAAAAGACAGCGGTAACGGCAATTTCTGCTAAGCCAAAAGCGGATTAGGTCATTTAGAAGTTGGTCACTGCGCAGTGGCAACAGCAATGCATGTTTCTATTCAAACCTGTTTAAAACATCATTCAGCAGAGACAGTGACAAGAGAATAAATGATAAAATTACAGTTCATAGTTGATGACCAGCCTTTGTCTGCGCCAGAACACCTGAGACCTCACCAACAATTAACTGGAACTCTAATGTCGCATGCTGCTTGGTACGATCTGGTCAGTTCCGTTAAAGCTTTAAGATGTCACTGAATTTGTATGTCTTTTCACAAGTTATCGTAGAGCATACAAACTTGAAGAAGAAGAAGAATTTTCCTCACTGAATAAAGTCTGACTGGCCCAACATCTCAATATTTCTTATCCTCATGTCAAGATAAACAAAAAGGCTGAATAAAGGCCAATATTTTTACAAATACAAAGTATGACGGCATATAAACTTATCAGATGTGGTATCAGTATCAACTAAGGATGTCCGATATAAACCTTTCGCCGATATTGTCCAAACACTTAATTTCCGATTCCGTATCAACTGATACTAATATATGCAGCCATTTGCCCCCAAAACTGAGGTTAACGTCTCAGGATCCTACGTGCGAATCCAGCCAATTTCGCAAAACCCAGTCGTTGTGTTATCAGATTTCCATTATCGGAGAAAAAAAAACGATATCTAACTTACCTATATTACATAAATATGTTAAAACGTGGCGGAGACTTATACAGTTACCCTGAGTAAGGTCTTCCGACGTTTAATTTTGCTTCATATTCATTTGTATCTATGTGTTGACACTGAGGTCGACCCAAATGCTTGTCAGGTCGTTGATGTTCCGTGTTCAACAACGTTTCAGCGCTTGACAACAATTTTGAGTTCCAGTGGTTATAAGTGAACTGGGTGACTCATGTGAAGCTTGCCTGGTGTGGATACTGCAGTAGGTGGTGATAGCAGCAGCAGTGGTGGAGGAGCAGCAGCTGGTGAAGCAGATAACGGTGTTGGTGCTGAAGCTGGCCAATCTAGTGGGTTCTGAGGTAGATGGTTCTGAGAAGTGGACTGTGGCAAGGATTTCTGAAGCTCAGGAGCAGCTTGAGTCTCCATTCTCTCAGCGTTGGCACTTTTTGCTTCTCTTAATTCCCTGTTTAGAAGCTGGAAGCAACAACAGGCAAGGTTACAAACTGGCCCCCAGTCTTAGCATGCTTTTGGTTATAAAACAGCAGAGTATCGCAGCATAAAATGGTTCCACACATTCAACAACATACTGATTAACAGAAGCTTTGACATCAGAGAAATCCATTGAAAAATCTAAGAGGGGGTGCGTTTGCAAAGAATTTCTCCTGGTAAGATTTATCACCTGAAATCCAAACATCCCGATCGCTATGCTGAATATAAGAGGAAGGAAAGCCACTTTGCGCAAAAAGCGAGTCTTGGCTGCATACAGCTTAGACCAGGAGATCCCCGCGACATTTACTTCACACCACACAGACCCGTTTGAGCAGCTAACTAAAGAGATCAGCTTCTCTGATGCATCTGTAGCAGATGTTATTCCTTTAATCGCAGCAGTAAAGTGTCTTCTAAGCGAAGAGGTTGAGACGGACTATGGAGTGAAAACAATGACAAGTACACTCGTAGAGTCTGTCCGCACACTGAGATCTAGTCGGATCCCCTGCACTTCTGTCGCGATTGTACTTAATCCGCGTGATAAAGATCATTACTTGGATAAGGGGATAAAGCAGCACGAGAAATGATCCGGCAATTGACTTAAATGCACTTTGTTTTTTTTTATGAGAGAACCTATTTAATTTACACATAAGTTGGGTCAAGTTTAACTTTTTTTTTGTACATTGTTGGAATGTGCTAAATAAATATTTTCATAATTTTGTAAATGTTCTATTCTTCTATTAATACATTAATATTAATTTATGCAATATCTTTGATTTTATTGAGGTTTAGTTCACAGTCATAGCCATAAATGCAATGGTACTAATAATTGGCATAATCATTCAATCAATTCTTTCTGTGTTTCGGTTTTCGGCCTCGGTTTCTTCATTTTCGGTTTTGGTCAAGAATTTTCATTTCGGTGCATCACTAGTAGATATACTGATGAACTGCTAAAAAAAAAAAAAAAACCAACCATGGACATCTTAGAGAGTTTACCTTTTGTGCCAGGCTGACAGCAGGCCTGGACATGGTTTTTCGTGCTCTGTGAATTGTGACAGGCAAAGGAGAAGGAACTGTGCCATTTTTAGTGTCCGATAGACCCTGTCCTAACTGTGTCCCCGCACTGGGGTCAGTCCTTCTTACAGCCAAAGTCTGTGAACTCGCTGGTTCTGTGACAAGTCCAGGTTTGACAGAGTCACCCCCTGTTGACATACTGGGAGATAAACAGTTAGTCCTGCGAGGGGAAAGTCCTGATCCAGATCCAGACACCGCTGTACTTCCACTTTCCCTCTCCTGATGCTGCTTAGTAAGAATAAATCCATTACTTCCAGTTACAGATCCATGTAGCGGCTCCGTGTCTGGAATGCCATTTTCATTGGCTAGCAGTAAAGTCTTGTTGCTGCCCGTTGAGCTGTGCTGTGATGGGCTGTTGTGCGTTTTGTTGTCCAATTCAGTGCCGTTGAGCATCGCCTCTTCTTTGGTGGCTGAGGCTAATCTTGCTGCTAACTCTCCATCTCCATCTGTAAGACAGAAGAAAACCCACAGCTGTCAAAACAATGGGAATGGGAGAAACAAAAGGTACTTTAAAGAGTACTACTTCCAGTACCTGACTTTTCCAGTGTGATGTTTGCTGGATGGAGTCGCTCCTTCTTTGCAGTTGCACCATTATCCAAGCTGTCCGTGGGAAGACTGGTCGGCTGATGACAGACAACACAAACAAACCTGTTAGTGGTAAGGAAGGATGTGGCTACACATGTTTACAAAAATGTTTTTTTTAGTTAGTGGGGAGTCAAAGTAAAGTATCAGAGTGGGCAGGTGAAGTGAGGAGTCATAGTGAGACTTCTAGTAAAGAATCATGGTGAGGATTCAGAGTGACGAGTCACAGTGAAGAGTCAGAGTGAGGAGTTAAAGTTACAAGTTACAGTTAGGAGTCACCATGTGGATTCAGAGTGAGGGGTCACAGCGAGGATTCAAAGTGAGGATTCAATAGGCCTGGGGCACTAATCGAAATTTGATTTTGATTACAATTTTGGCTTACCACGATCACCAAACCAAGACAATCAAAATAAAACTAGTATTGCGCCAATAGTGTGATGTCAATGCAGCAGTACACACTTGCCAATAGTGTGATGTGTCAATGCAGCAGTACACACTATAGCAGTGCGCCACGTCCTGTCCCCCCCGAACACAAACGGTAGCTTCACTTTCAGCACATTTTGAGGGAGAGAGATTTTTGTTTTTAGTATATGCACACATATTATAGCAGAGCAGTAAAATTGTTGTTTTAATGAGAAAGCTGTTTATTTCCATTCAGTCAATAGACGCTATTGGTGTCAATTTGGTGCAAAGCACGCCTTCTGCTCGGAGCACAACAACACATTATCCCCGACATTATCCCCGCTGTGGCTCTCAACCACAGAACAGAACAAAATGCACTAAAAACCCATGAGCACTAAACCTTAGTGCGTTCCAGGCACTCAGGAAAATGGAGTAAGAAGACAGAATAGCAGAACACAGAACAGTAATTTCAGGATCAATACTGGCAATAACACACAACATGACTTCACACCCCCCCCCAACAAGTTACAGTATTACTTCTATTTTTTCACTTGGCCTTAGTTTAATTTTTCATCACTTTAACGTTAAATAAAGTCTTTCAGCAAAAGCAAATGATCAAATCAATGAATAATTGAAAAAGAATTGTGAGTTCAATAAAAATCAAAATTATCGTGAATATGACATGAGGATTCAGAGAGAGGAGTCACCGTCAGGAGTTTTATTTGAACAGACTAAACAATCTTGAGTTGCTAGCCTCTTCTTTTGCGTTAGTGTTGTCCCTCAGTGTGAGTGAGGTGTGCAAAACTTGGTGTGCCAAACTTGGATGCGTCGGCCAAATTGTACATTTGTATGTATAGGACACTATACTTATATTGATATGAAGTTGTCCCATTCTACATCGTGTATTGATATGTCATAAAATCTGTTGTCTAGCCCAAAAAGACAAAAATTCGCAACTAGTATGTTAATAAAAATAATAATAATAATAATATTACTTTCATTAATTAATCATCTGTTTGATTAAGTATATGCTGAATGCTGTTGTAAGGTTTAATGAAGACTTCAGGCTATGACCAGCTCACAAATCTTCACAATACAATATAAACATATGAGAAGAGGAAAATATATTTTTACAAGAGAGATCGTATTTATGTAAATAAAAGGATAATGTAAACAAATAATGTAGAAAAAATGTTTTAGGACAGGCCTTTGGACTTTAAAAGGATTCCAAACTTGGAAGCTGTAAGGCCTCTGGAGAAGCAGACGTTTTTTTAAAAATAGAAAAAACAGGAGAAGAAAGATTTCTCCAGATTGCGCCACAAGTATATTGGTATTAAGTATCATGCATTTTTTGTGTTTTGATTTTCTTTCTATTCATATACATCAACATCTACAACCAATGGAGGAGCAAGTGCAGACATTTACTGCAACATCAAAAGATGTTTAAGCCCCATTTAAAGAGTTAAGGCCCCGTGCAGTAGGGAACATTTTCAGAGGAGACATAAGGAAACATCTCCAGTTCACTGGAGGCCGACGTCACGCCTGCAACTCGGCCACGCTGAAAATTTGAGACCAAGGAAACAAAGCCTAAGAGGAAAATAGCAGGACCTATAACAAACAGCCATCTGTCCAAAGGCCTTTAGACAATTTCTGGATTGACTGTCATAAGGAAATGGGAGCAAACAAAAAAAGGCACCGTGAATTTCATTAACCTTAACAGATTCTGCTTGGGCCTAGACAAATACATGAGAGGAGAGGCAGGTTTACAAAATCAGCCTGCAAACTGGTCCAATCACAGGACTTACGATGTGTCAGAGTCCACAGAGAGTTTTCACTTTGAAAAAGCCAGCGTGAAAAAAGTCTTGTCCTACAAGGTTCCTGACACTTACAGTAAATGCTTTGTCCTAAAGGCTAAGGACCACAGAGACCCGTCTGCACCAACCACAGGGCAGATGTTCCCAAGTCATTCCTTATACCTCAGATTCCCTGAGCGGAACACAGACAAGGAACCCAGTTAGACCTGAAGCCAGTGTATCAGCAGCAGACAACTTGAGACACTCTACCAAAGGTCACCCAGATTGGGGCAACCCTGTGAATTATGACCTCAAGGAGTCAGAGGAGGGTACACACAAGAGAAACCCTTCAATTTCTAGTTTTGATGAACTCACTTGTAAAAAAAAATGAACTATCCACATGTGCCTTCTTCCTCCCCCTAGTGGCAGAAGCTGGAAAACGCAATAGAGACACAAAAAGGAGAAGGTGGGGGAGGGAGAGACAGAGAGGCCTGTCTGCAGAGCTCCGCCATTTCGCAAAACCAGATTGTTTACTGACACGGTGCCATTGCAGCAGTTTTCCACTAGATGGAGTGAGCAGGGACTTGGAGGCTATTGGATTGGAATATGGACAGTGCTGCTGGGAGACAGAAGGCTCTCCGGCTATGACTAAGTAAGGTTTTCAGGAGCCTTGGCAAGCATGTCAAAAATTTGAGAATGGATAGGTTCAGCTGTGTGTGTGGAAAAAAAAACAAAAACCTCAGAAGTGAACTCTCGAGAACCAGATCGGATCTTGATTTAAAATGTCTGGAGAGCTCAGCCATTGTTAGTTTTGTTTATCTGTTTCAACCCTAACACTGTATTTTAAACCAAATATCTACCAGAACGTATCGAGGTCTTGCCCCATGTTTGTGACCTATCTTTAGATTCATTACACAGGGCCGGAAAATAAGACTTTCACTTTTGCAGGTAACAAAACACTAGTGTACACATGGGAAAAGGTTTGATTACAGCCTGATGAATAATGGGAGTATTATAAAGACACCATTTAAAATAAAACAACAACTAAATAGACAATAAAAACATGGAAATCCAAGGTTCTTTAAATGGAAATCACTCCTGGAAAAAAAAAAAGGTCCACACAAAGCAAGTTACATAACCAGCTGTTACACAGCAACCAATGAGGGCAAGACTGTCCACACCCTAATCACTGAAGAGACACACATATAAAAAGGCATATCTGGTAACCTTCGAAAACAATTTATGACTTATGTTGTGTCTTGGGTTTGCCCATAACAACTTGGTTAATGAGAAAATGGATCATATATTTTACATATGGCAGAATAAAACGTGTAGACCAAGGTCTTGATAACTGGAATCTGCAATTTTCTGCTCGCACAGAATCGCTTAAAAGGCCTTGACAAAACTAATAAACACTTCATCAGACACTAGTAGTGCCTAATAATCCAGGGAACAAATAATTTAACACCTACTTTGATGAATATTTCACTATTTGTATTCCCTTTTATTACCCTTTTTTGAGTGTAGGATGCCGAACTCTATCTTCAATGGTCTTCTTTGACGACAGACATAACTGCAAGCAAAAGGTCCAAATTCGACTAAGTGTACTTCACAAAAACACAACCCAAAAAAAAAAATTAATTTAAAAAAAATGAATGCATAAATGTGCATTCATTTGCCAAGAGGAGACCAAACCTTTGTTAACAACTGATAATAGGTTGGCTCTTAGTCTGAGGAGATGCTTAAAGACAGGCAGATGTGAACATGATGCTCATGCAAAAGCCTAAACACATTCTTAACATTGATGGGCAGCTGCCAAAGGAATCTCACCATCTCTCACTGATACATCCACTCCTGGGTACATACCAAGATTATAGAACAACCTTCAGCAAAGAGACCAAAGATTTTTAAGAAGACACATAAAAAAAAACCAAAACTTAAAATAAAACTTTTTGGCTGTTGCTAGGTCTAAGATGTCACACAAAAATGTCTATGGTCTTACAGGAGGACAAAGGCGCCCCCCCCAAAAAAAGGTTAAAACAGGATAGCAGCAGCAGCAACAGCAGGGGAAACAGTTATTTTTCTTCGTCATTTCCTGAATTTCACAAAACATATGCCATCACTTAAACCATGTAATTAAGAGGATGACCGGAACCGCGAAAGAACCAGTACCGAAACCTGTGCGGAGTGATGCATCTCTAAACCAACTCAAAGTAAACTGCGCCTGTTACCATGTGTGCCTGCAGGATGCATCAGGGCCTCCATTGAGAAAGAGGCATCAGGAAGAAAATCTGAGAAGGACAGGGGAGAGAGGGAAGGAAGGGGGTGAAGGTAGAGAGAGCAACAATGTCTTGGACACATTGTTCCTCTCTCTCACCCGTTTTTTTTCCTTCCCCGCATTCACATTCACCTTGCCAGTCATGTGACCTGCTGGCTCCCTCTGCCGGCCCTCTTCTTCTTCAGATGGTACTCCTACACAGAGCATGCTCAGACGGTAACATGACTATGTTTCTTTAAAATGGAAGACCTCGATGCCAGTAAGGACTGGAAACATTTTATAGACGTAGGTCCACCACAAGTAAAGACTGAAAATCCCAAAAAACCCAAACGTTCCTAAAACCTTTTTGGGAATGTTTCATAAAAGAGGAAAACATTGACCTCGACACTTTTGAGTGGTGTTTATCAAAAACGAAAAGCTCACTTGTCAAGTATGTTGACACAGTGGCTTAAAACAAACTACTTGAAATAACTCCAAGATTTGGGTCACAATAAATCGGTCAAGGCATTTAACAATTTGCTTTAGATCCAATCAGTATTGAAAAAACGAATAAACAAAAGTCAAACATACTAAGCAGCAAATTTCCTGATACATTTGCCCCCTGATGAGCGAACAACTTGAGCCATCGTCGCCAGTACTTGATCATTAGTACCTCGTCCATGTTGGTGATGTGGCTCGGCTGGATGCGCTTGTCGGCGATGTGCTTCTCGCAGTAGGACCGAAAGTTCGCCAGCTTTTCAGAATAATCCGCCGGACGTCGCTGCGCTACCGTAGTCCTGGTCCGGATGGAAAAATGGCACCGTTTCATAAAACGCCAGCACCAAGACGGACCTCCTTGGAAATGTTCAATTTTCATTTCCTCTGCTAGCGTTACTGCTTTGAGTCGGATGGTGACAGTCGAAACGCTCCTCCCGCTCGCTCTTTGCTCGACGATCCATAGCTCGAGTCTTTCCTCCAACTCCGGCCACCTCGCCTTATGTCCGCGGAAACTCAGCTGAGTCTTCTTCACCTGTCGGAGCTCGTTCTCCAGCTTCCTCCACTTGCGAACCATCGACTCGTTTATTTTATATTCTCTCGCGAGCTTCATAAGCCTGTCTCTTTGCCGCCATTTTCAGGGTTGTTAAAACAGCAATGTTCTGCATAAAGCACATACCTGTTCTTTTATACACAATCCACGCCCACACATCCCCTCTTTAACGTTCTCATATTCTCTACCACGTCCTCCTCAAGGTGGTCTCTATCACGTTCGCCTAGGGCGCACTGCACTATAGGGCGCACCGCACATTTTGAAAAAAATCTAAGTCGTTTATATGCGCCTTATGGTCGTGAAAATACGGTATGTCAAAGCAGCTTACTCCTCAGAGAACAGCTCAAGACACACTTGAACTTAAAAACGTCAATGGTGACTCTTATTCACATCCTCAAGTGAAGAGAAAATAAGGTATCAAGGAACAAAACAGAAGATGAGATGTCAAGGCCCTAAGGAATATATTTTTCATCATGCAGGGCCACAACGTCCAATGTCTGTCCAACCACTTTACATCATACACGTAGTTACACTGATACTACATGAGAGTCAATGTCAGTCATCCAATTAGAGCATGGATAATTACACTCTTGTTTTAATCCCAGTACCAACACATTTGGGCTGGATGTATCTAAAGGTTAAATTTAAACTTATTTAAAATGTAATTCTGATATTTTTTAATATTAGTTCAATTTTCTTTGAGTGGCACTGGTTCCTACCAGCTTACAAATCAAATGCTAGGCAACAGCATTTAATTTTTTTAATAACCCTGATCAGGGTTGGTTAACATTTGATAAAAAAAAAAAGAAAGAAAAAAAAACACAACAACTTTTTCAAATCACATAGTTTGCTGACCACTGAATGAAAGAATGTGTCTATTAAAAAGAAGAAAACCATAATAATTTACAGATTACTACAGACACATTTCATTTACTGTTATTGTATTCAACATTGAAAGACCTCCTGGCTCTGAATCCTGGCAGTGTATGTGTTTGCAGAATTTTGGCAATACTGTAGATTGTACTGCTGCTTCACTATTCACCAAACTTTTTTGACATCAATCATTGCATCCTGTCTATCTTCTTCTGGTTGACAAACGCAATTTAAGCGCATTACCGCCATCAACCGGACCAGAGTATGTGCATCAGTGTTGGACATGTATCAGAACTTAAGAAACGTAGAAAAGTGCGATGAAAATAACTATTTTAACGCGTTATTTTCTCTGTGTGTAATTATTAACCCTTACTGCCTTAAACTCCCTATCCTAGTTTGAATATTACAGTCTTACAACAGATCGCTGCATGTTTACAGTGTGAATGTGTATGAAGCTTTACCTATTCTGCTGAATCTGACTGCATCATTTATCATCAGAGCTGAAATCAACACGCGCACACATACACGCACACAGAGTTAACAGTGTGCGTCGTGGATGAAGCTGTGTTTTCCCCTCAACACATTCAAAACAACTCAGTCATTAACGAATAAACAACAATTTGGAAATATGTCGGTTTGTCCACATTCTGCTAAGTAGCACAGCTGCTAACAGCTAGCTAAACAGCGGCGTACAAATTAACCGCGAATATGTCTATAACACATAAAAAAACATATTTGGCAAAAAGACTAAGACTCGGGATTAAGACAAAGCATAAATGCAAAGATATTTGTCTTTGGAGTTTTATTTTGAACCGCCGTGAAGCTGCCAGCATCGGGACGCTGACGTTACTTCAGGAACATGAATGAGAAACCCATTAAAATCAAGCTATAATGCGGCCTCTTACAGTATTCATGTTCCGGGGCGTAGCATCTTCCTGCACATTCAGTTAGCAGAGCCCCGGTGCAGCACAAAAGCTCAGACACAGAGGCTGAAGCTGCTGCTGTTACCGCCGCTGCCGCTCCGACTCCGGCCGCGGGAATTTCACCACAAACCGGCACCACACTACCCACGAGCCAACAAACTGGACACATCAGGGATAGGTCCAGAATTCTCAATAACCACGCGGCCCTCCGGTTTTACCCAGATGAGTGGTGAGGGTAAAAAATGTTCTAGAGAAAAAGAGAATAGAGGAGAAGGCTCAAACACTCACCTCGGTCCTGACCGAAGCCATGGTGCTTGTTTCTTAACCCCGCCCACACATGATGACGTCAATTTATTGATTTGCAGATAGTATACCTGCCAAACCCAGTGTATAATAATAACAATAATAATAAAAGTCAGCATTATCAAAGCAATAAAAAGACTAAAAAAATAGTTTAAAAATAGTTTGTATGTTAACCTTCGATTATTCCGGATAATTTTCTTTTTCTTCTGGTTAGATGCAACCAGAAGAAAAAGAAAATTACAACAACAAAAACAAAAAAAACAAAAAAACAAACAGTCAGTGAAGATGTTATGTAATTTAAATGTATGTGCTCCTGACTAGGCTAACAGCCAGGCTAAGATTATTCCTTATTACATCTTATTATGTTTCTTCGAGGAATCCATGTGTTTTACAGCGAGTCCACAGTCTTTCTTAATATGTTGCATCATTTTTATCATCCTGCATTAAAATATTACATATATATTGTCATTTGTCATTTAATTTAAGTCTGTTGTGGATTATTAAAGTTAATTAAGTTCTATCTATCCAATATCCATTAAAACAATATTACAAATCACATAAGGTCTTCAGCCTTGGCTGGAACCAGAAAAAGTAGGCTCCTACTTTGTTTTCCTTCACACAAAAAGACACACTCATATGAAGTACAACCCATTGGTCTGATACAGTGACGTGCGGTGAGGTTCGTGGTTGGTGAGGCACTGGCTGCTCTGGAGTCAGATTTACAATTGTAAGAACCGAAAAAAGAGCGTCCTATTTCACTATTCATCTCCTTTGTCCACAGGGCAATTAAACTGTTTAACTCTTTACAGAGTGGGAGGAGGGCGAACAAATGACTGATGGATAGGGGAGTAAGTGCAATAACCCAACAATAATTTCAGTGCAATAACCACAATCTCCCTTTAAAGTACTAGTATATTTCAATGAACCATTGAATATTTCTATTTTATCTTCTAAGGCTATCTTTATGTACTGTATATGTGTATATATATGCTCACGCAATGCTCATGTATGTGTATATCTGTACAAGTGTATGCATATTTAGATGTATATATATTTATGTATATGTAGTATAACATATAACTTATATAATGTGCATAAATATATTAATAATATCTATCCTATATAATGTTATATTATATTTGTATACCCCTCCTTGAACCCCCTTGATGAAGAAAACAATAAAATCAAAGAGGTTCACGTCGCCCGGATTGACGTCATCGGGGCCCCACCCTGGAGCCAGGCCCGGGGTTGGGGCTCGCAGGCCTTGCTCACGGGACCCGGCCGGGCTCAGCCCGAATGTCAGGAAACTTTTTCTTTTAGATAGGACTGAAAAAAAAATGCTGTTAGTTCATATCCCAGTTCCCTAGCACACAAAGAATCAAATAAAAATCAAATAAAGAATCAAATACGAGATCTCAAAGTTTTAAAAGTTTTACTTGCAGCAAGGAGTGCAGAACAATGGTTACATTCAGAACTGCACTGAGGAACTCCTCAGTGCTCAAAGCTTAAATACAGTTTTTTTTACACACACAAACTTCAATGGTCAGTACCTTAACCCTTTACAGCCATGTGGTGTTCTCGCGCAACTTCTGAGCACTGATTGGTAAAGACTGCTCCAAACAAGGATTCTCCATGCAGTTTGGATGTTTTTCTCTCTTTGTCTTTTGTTGGTCTTCCGTCGGTCTCCTTATTTGGGCAAAGAAACCAGTTCTGGCCGGTTCTGTGTCCCATCTCTATCTCCAAGTGTAACAGTCGGTACCATTCAGTGCTGTCCACATCATCCTGTTATGTAAACTATCAGCAGGCACACCTGTATTCAGCACTTTCCCTTTGAGCACAGCATAATAACAGCATTCAATAACAGTATAAATTGATATAAATGTAAAGATTGAATAAAATGTTAGAACATCTTAACACCGAACAAGCGACGTGAG